TAGTTTTGAGTTCAGACTCTGAATCCTGAGTCTAGAGACTAAATCTTGCCTCTGTCCATTTCCAGCTGTGTGACCTTGGATCTTTTGTCTGACCTCTTTGTGCCTTAGTTTGTCTGTATGGTGATGATAATAGTAAAGTCCTTACTGCTGGTGATTGTGGTGAGGGTTCAATGACACCCAGCAAATAAATAATCAGTACTACAACTGTTAGAAGGGCAATTCAAGAGAGCTTCTTGAAGGGAAAGACATTTGAGTTGACCCTTGAAGCACCAGCAGGGGCCCCACAGTTCCCAGGGGAAGGAAAGGGATACCTTCCCTGTGGAGTGGCCAGGGCAAGCAGGGTGGAAAGGACAGGCATGGTTGGGCCACAGCCACTGTCTGGTTGAAGCATGGGGTGGTATTTGGGAAGAGGACTGCTCAGGGAGGGTTTGGAGGGCCAGCTGCCCTGGAGCAGGGAAGCCTTGGGGACTCCGGAGTGGGGCTCCAGTGACATCAGGGCCCAGGGAGAGCAGGCCTTGCTGGAGGGAGCATCCCAGGCAGAATCCCCCCAGGGACAGAGCCCTGCACCAGACAGGCCCCACAGCTCTGGGCTGGGACCAGCCAGAAGTGGGGGACATGCTAGATCTTCGGTGGTCTGGTCTCTTTAGCTGGACTCAAGCACTCCCTTCACGAAGCTCCTTCGTAGAGCCTTTGGGTGTGCCTGCCGAGGCCCCACCTGCCCTGACATTCTATGCACTTGGCCCATCACCTTGGGCAGGTCCTTTTCCATCTCTGTGTTTTCATCTGTGGACACAGGAAGGCCTGCCCCGGTGGTGGGGAACTGGTCGAGGATGCCCTGCTCCCTCTCTGGACAATGTCTGGCCAAGGGTCAGGCAGGGAAGTTCATGGCTGGGGAGGAGCCAGGTCACAGCTTTGCCTCTTTTCTTCCCAGCGTGGCCCCTCGGCTTATCTGGGTCGGGGCAGAACTGGGTGGGCAAGGAGGGGATGTTCCTACAGTGGCCAGATAGCGCCAGGGGTGATAAAGCGCACCGGCCCAGCAACTGGCTGGAGAGAGGTGGGACAATGGAGCAGGCTGGGGTGGTGTTCCAAGACTGCGGTTGACTTCTGTGTCCTCTTCCCCACTAGCCACACCCTCCAGGTCAGCGGGGTACAGCCCCAGTCACCCACTACCCTACCATCACCCCCACAGGGCAAGGAAGAGAAGAGCATTTAAGGTTGGCGTGGCCTTTGAACACTCTCAGAAAACCAGTGGGGGCAGAGGCCAGCCCATGGGGTAACCGTAGGGTGAGCGACTTGTCCTGGTTTGCCTGGGGCTTTCCCAGTTTTAGTGCTGAACCCGGGAAGCCCCGCGGTCCTGAGCAACCAGCATGGTGTGCCAGGGACTGTCCAGGTTTTAAAACTGAAAGTCCTCTGTCCCGGGAATCCCCTTGATCCTGGGCAAAGAGAGCTGGTCCCCTTGGAGTAAAGGCATATAGCTGGGGGTGGGTAATCAAGGAGGCAGACAGGGGCCTGGAGAGCTGTGAGCAGGCGGGCTCCTTCCCTGGATCTGCTCAGGGGTTCTATGGAGGGGGTGAATTTGCAGTCCAGATCCCCTTCTCTAGAGGGCTTCTGTTCTCTAGAGGGTGAGGCTGGCATGGCTGGAGGGTCAGTGGGTGGGGCCAGGCCTCCCAGCCATCCTCAGCTACCTGTTCCTCTGCTCTTGGATCCTTGTGAGGGAGCCATGACCCCTGCGGGGGCTCTGCCACACCACTTGCTGGTTTGGGAGCAGCCCCAATGCTGCGGATATGACCAGCAGCCAAACTGGGAGCAGAATCACTCAAAATCAAAGTCAGGGCACCTGAGCTGCAGGGCTTTCCGCCTTTTCTTCCCAGGGCTTTTGCTGACCTGGACCTGCCCTGCGTGTGCTTCTGAGGGTCAGGGTAGATTCCTGAGACTGATAGGGAAGCTGTCAGGAGGGTGGCAGGGAGAGTCAGGGACACCTTCCTAGAGGGGACTCAGAAGGGAGGCTTGCTGCAGCCCGCCTTCAAGCCTGAGCCTCCCTTCCACCTTGCTCTTCTCCCACACCCTGAAAACAGGATGGCCCTTCCCTACCTCCCTGCTGACCCAGGGATGTGGAAGTCCCAGAGACCCTTGCCCGTAGCATCCCCGTCTCAGATGGGCACTGGACAAAGCCCATGGGAAGATGAGATCAGGGCATGCTGCAGGAAGTGGCACCCTGAAGGGAGAAAGAAGGCCCTGGACTTTCTATCTGTGGCTGGACCTGAGCGGACAAGAGAGGAAGGCGGCACCCTAAGCAGCACCTCAGTTAGGCCAACAGGTGAACTGGAGAGACCTTGTGAGCTCTGGGAAGACTCTGATTCAGATGTCCACAGAGCCACAGTTTCCAGACTGGATGGGAAGTCTCGCCCACTACCCCTCCCAAGGATCCCAGGTTGGTTGGGTGGACAAAGTCTGTTAGCAAAGCTGACTGTGGTCTTCTGTGAACCTCAGGGTTGGCAAATGGGCCAAACTGAGGTGGCTGCATTCTAACTCCAGGCTCCTTCTGCTTCCAGAAATTCTCTCCTGCCCCTCTGCTCCCCCAGCCTCGCACTGTCCCATCTGGCCCACATCACTTCTATCGCTGTTGCCCATTCAGTCATCCGGTATCTCCCCACAGCCCTGGTCCTTGTCTGGTTACCTCTGAATCACCAACACCTCCCAGGTGGTACAACTCAGAAGGTGTCTGGAAGATTCATGTCTGGCAGGAGATGGGACCCCCAATGGTGACCATGAAGTTCCAGACAGGCTGGGCCCTGGGGAGAAGGGCTGGTGACAGGAGCTCAGGGAGGGGTCCGGGGCCAGTCTGGGTGTCCCGGGGGAGAGGCAGCCAGAGTGCCGAGTGGGCCCCGCTCCTGTTTGTGTCTAGCTCAGTCTCTTCTCCTGCCCGCACCAGACTCAGCCACAAGACCAAACTGTGTGGACAAATGGTGCTGATGGTCCAGGAGCCGAGACAGAATCCCCCCAGACAGGCTGGCCAAAGGGTCCTGTCCACCAACTTCCTAGGTCTGCAGGGAATGGGGTGGCCCAGTCTGGGGGAGGGGAGAGGCTCGGGGAAGGCCCTCCTCGAGGGGAGAGGTGCTGAGGGCAGGGGAGCTGGCCCTCTTGGCCTTTGAAGGGTAGGCCTTCCTGAGGAGGACACTTTAATCGCCCCCAATTAAACCATTGCCGGAAGCTTTTAACAGCCCCATCAGCCTTTTAAGGCCGGCCCTTTTGTTAGGCAGCCAAGCTGTTATGCAAAAGGAGAGCGGGCCAGGGCCTCTCACCACTTTCCCCAGGCCCCAAGGCCAGCCAGCCCCAAACTGCACTCAGCTCCAAAGAGGCTTCTTGTCGGGAATCAAAGGCTGGAGAACCTGCTTTGATCTGAGGCAACCCAGTCCTTCCTTGTTTCCCCAACTCCCCTTCCCGAAGGCTTCAGGCCTTGGAGGCACTCACGCCCACAGTTCCCAAGGTGGGGCTGCCCAGGCTGATCCCCAGGATCCTGGGAGGCATATAGCCCCTGCCCCTCACTTGGAGAAGCAGCTGCCAGGGTGGTGGGAACTGTCACTGCCGCTTGGGGTCAGGAAGCCCTGGCCTCACCTCTTCCACCTGCTCGAGGTCCTCTGGGCCTTTGTGACCAGGTGTGGGCCTCAAATAGATGTCAGCTGGGATCCCCTTAGAAATGCAGGCTGCAGACCCTTAGAATCAGAATCGGCTTCTCCCAGGAAGGCCTGGGAGGTTGAGAGCCCTGCTCTAGTGTCCCCCCTCCCTGTCCCCTTCCTCCCCGCAAAGCAAGAGAAAGTGTAGGAATGATATTAGCCCTGGTAGACTGTGAGAGGCCTCCCCCTTTGCTTTCTGAGTTTTCGACAACATGTATATTTAAAAAAAACAACAGAGCCCTCTGGGTAAATAGGAGATCCTGGAGGACCCCAAATGGCAGGCTTCCATTTGGTCATTTGGTTGACGACAAGATTCTCCACCACGGTATCCACATCTGCTCCCTCATTACTGCCGGAGGGAAGCCGGACAGGCCTTCTTATTATCCAGAAGAAGTCAAAGCCCAGGAAGTTTCCAGGGACTGGCCTGAATCCGAGGCAGGGTTAGGAGGGAAACTCAGGAAACCTCCTTCTTCAGGTCAAGCAGGGCTGCCAGAGACAGCTGTGAAGGGGGTACACTGCACAAAGTCACCTGGAGTGGGGGTAGGTGGGGATAATATAGCTCCCACTATGCTCACCAAGGGTGTCCTTGTGTGAGGGCCACGTGTGCTGGAGGAAGGGAGCCTTCTTCTAATACAAAACTCCACCCAGGCAAGCAGAAGGTGGAGACTTCTAAAATCCTCTATTCTCCGCCCCTCCCTTCTCTTCACAAAAGCTAAGGGTCATCAAGCACCTACTATGTGCTGACCTTCAGGCTTGGTGCTTTCTTTCCTGACCTCTCTTATTCCTCAAGACAACTCTCCCACTCCTTCTTCTGATTAAGATCTGTGTGCTGCTTTCCTTGAAAACCTAGCAAGACCCGGATACACTCCAGATGAGTCAGAGCCTGTCAGGACAAAGGTCTCCCATGGCAGTCCCTCGGGGCAGAGGGCCTGGCTTAGCCAAGGGACACCCAAAGGGGATGGTTTACAAAACACTTTCTGGATGTTTTCAGGTCTTGGAGTCTCCTCAGTTTTTGTGGTGTTGGGGAATGGAACCCAGGCCCTGCACAGGCTGGGCAAGTGTTCCACCACTGAGTTACTCCCCAGCCCTCTCTAATTTTTATTTTTATTTTATTTATTTATTTATTTTTTATAGGAGGAACAGGAGGTATTCTTTTTTTTTTTTTTAAATAGGAGAGAGAGAGAGAGAGAGAGAGAGAGAGAGAGAGAGAGAGAGAGAGAGAATTTTTTAATATTTTTTTTTTTTTAGTTTTTTTTTTGGCGGACACAACATCTTTGTTTGTATGTGGTGCTGAGGATAGAACCCGGGCCGCACGTATGCCAGGTGAGCGCGCTACCGCTTGAGCCACATCCCCAGACCCTAATTTTTATTTTTAAACTTTATTTACTTATTTCTTTGGTGGTACTAGGGACTGAGCCCGGGGGTGCTTTACCACTACATTTTCAGTCCTTTTCATTTTATTTTTATTTTTTATTTTTGAAACCGGGTTTTCCTAAGTTGCCCAGGCTGGCCTTGGATGTACGATCCTCCTGCTTCAGCCTCCCAAGTCACTAGGATTACAGGCATGTGCCACCATCCTGGCAAGGGTCTTGGGGTCTTGAACATCTAATCCCATCATAGGCAAATGCTGAGTACTTGGTTGTAGGAGGAGAACTAAAGCCCACCTGACCATCCTGCCACCATTCCACAGTGACCCCCAGAGGCAGGTGGGCATCTAGGACCCCAGAGGGCTGTGGCATGGCCAGTATAAGGTAGGCAGTGTGGTAGAACCCTGTAGAGCACACTGGCACAAACTTGTTCTGTTGAAGGGCAAGTCGTCCAAATTTTAGGCTTTGGGGCTCTTAAGGTCTCTGGCTCTGTCAGTTACCCAACTTTGCCATACCTGATGAATGAATCTGTGTTCCAATAAAACTTTGTGGATACTGAAATTTTAATATTATAGGATTTCCATATATGCCCAAATTTTATGCTTCTTCCCCCCCCCCCCCCCCAACCATTGTAAAATTCATTCTAATTGTTAGGTTGCACAAAAGCAGGCTATGGGCAGAATTTTGGCCATAGTTTGCTGGTCCTGGTCCTATAGAGCAAAGGTCTAGAGGTCAGCCATCCTTCTTGCAGTCAAGTGCTGGCTATTTCATTAGCCAGTAGTGTGATCCAGGACACGTTAGGCCTCTGTTTCTGTCAGCCTGGGACGGTGGCATCTGTTGCTCAGGGATTTCGTGAGATGCAGTCTGGAAAAGCGCCAACTCTTTTTTCCAATGATTGGCATGCAGCAACCCGTCCCACATGCAAGCAATGACCACTGCGCTGCCGTGAGTGTTCAGAGATCAGTGGGAGGGGACATGAAGGCTGGAGAGGCGGGGCTTCCTTTCTGGAGAAGGTCTGGGTGAGCAGACTGATAGGAAACCTACTGAAATGGAAGAAAGAGAAAAATCTTCAGAGGTCCAAGGATCTGGCCATTGAAGGCTCTTAAGAGGTCCCCCTTCAAAGCAGTGCCAAGGGGAGGTGGGGTGGGCAGACACTGTGGACTGAAGATGTGAGGCGAGGTTACTGGTGAGTCCATGTGGATGAGAGCTGGGTAGTGTGGGTCCCAAGGGTGTGTCAGGAGCAATAGCTAATGTCATTGTAGGTGCCAATCCCTTTGCTCCTCCATCCTGATTGGTGCAAGGGCAGGGCCTGAACAAAGCCCAGCTGACCAGAGCCCTTCCCTGAGACTGTGCACTTGGGAGAATGCAAGCAAGTCCCTCTCTCGTCAGAGAACATCACCACGTGAAATGCAGTCCTGGCCAGCAGCTGTGTCCCCTGTCACCCAGGGCCTGCAAGTCAAAGAACCTGTGATGTGAGAGGATGGAGTCTATCCCAACAGGAAGCAGAGACAAGAGATTTAGTGAGTCCCTCAAAGGACTGTGTTCCTGCCCTTCCGCGGTTTGTGGCTTGGTGACTGATTTCTTCCTCTGCTGGTGGGGCTATCCAAATCCTTTGAATAAACTCCTGTTTCTCTAAGCTAGTTTGAGTTTCCATTGCAAATAAGGAAAACTGCTGAGCAAATACACGGCAGATTTCCTCACAAGCTCTCATTGCACAACTGTGCGGGGCTCTGGGTAGGTACCTTATATCCACTGCTTAAGATTATGCTGGGAGCCATGGGTTTGATTATCTCCATATTACAGTTGATAAAACTGAGGCTTGGACTTTGCCCAACCCTCCATTAGTGTGTCCCTCAGGTTGTGGGCCTGGGTCCTCTTGGGTTAGCATTGACTAGTGTCTCCCAGAAAATTTTCCCATTCCCATGTTTTTAATCCCATCTCCACAATTTCCAATTTCTGATCTAGACCTTTATGTTCGGGACTGATGTATCCAGCTGCCTACCTGATAAAGCCCTCAAACATTGACCTCTAGGGCTAACCTTCTGCTCTTCACCTCCCCACCCATTCTGTCCCTCCTGGGGATTCTTCTCTCAGTAACTGGTCCCACCATCTACCCAGTTTCCCATGGCAGAAACCTGAGAGTTACATTAGCCCTCTTCCCCTCCCACTTTCTTTAGAGGTTTGGATTGCAATGCCCCCCTCCTGCAGTGCTAGGGATTAAGCCCTGGGCCCTGGCCCTCTAGGGTCATCTAACCATTGTGTTGCTAAGTTACCACCCAAGCCCCTTCTCACTAGTTCCTCCTGCCCCCCCCCCCATGTGTTTGCTCTGCTCCTTCTGGAGTGTGGGTGGAGACAAGGCCGGGTGGTGGGGGGCACGGTGTGCATCCCTTCCGAGCTTAGCCTGTGTTGTTGCCTCCTGTACTCCCCAACCCCCCCCCCCAAAAAAGGCTGAAATTCATCTCTTGTTACAAAGAAATAGAGCTCTACTCCCCCTCCCTCATCTAGCCATCTAGATCACCCCCCAAAGATGGCCTCCTCCTTCCCCAAATCTAGGCCAAGCCATTATCCACTGACCTATTGGAGGTACTTTAGCGAGAGCTCTAACCATGTCTCCTCAATACTCAAAACCCCTCGACGCTTCTAGTCCACAGTCTCTCCCAGCTGCAGCCCGCCCGTCTGCTCTCGGACTTCATCCTGGGTCTCTCTTTGCTTATACACGGTGGCCTCCTTTCGGTAGGATGAGTACCAAACCCTTATGACCTCAGGGTCTTTGCAGGTGCTGTTTCTGCTATCTGCACATGTTCCCCTCCCTCCCACTTCCCTACCTCCCAGCATTCCTAGATGGCCATCAGATCTGGCTTACCCTTCAGGGATCCTTTCTCTTCTGCTCTCCAGGAAATAGGATCCCAAAGAACGCGCCACTCTCTGTAGCCCTCAAACAGCATGTGTTTGGGTAGGTATTAGGTAGGTATTAGACTATTGGAGACTATTCTTTGAGGGCAGAGAGCAACCCTGTCCTAATTCACTTTTTTTTTTTTTTTGAGAGAGAGAGAGAGAGAGAATTTTAATATTTATTTTTTAGTTTTCAGCGGACACAACATCTTTGTTTGTATGTGGTGCTGAGGATGGAACCCGGGCCGCACGCATGCCAGACGAGCGCGCTACCACTTGAGCCACATCCCCAGCCCCTAATTCACTTTTGTGCCTGCTGTCCCCTGCACCGTGTCAGGCACAGAGCGGGTGCTCAGAAATATTTGCCAAACGAATGCCTGAGTGACAGAGGCTTGGAGAGAGCCCAGGACTTGTCCAGGATGCTGCTACCGAATCCCCAGACGTCAGCCCCCAAACTCTTGGGCTCTGAAGTCCACCCTTAAGGAAACCAGGAAGGAAGAGGCTGAGAAGAGGTCTGGCCTCAGGCACTTAGAGTCAAGGAAGAGCTGCCGGAAGCAGGGCAGGGAGGGGAGACCTCACCCCTGCCAAATGGAGTCAGGCTAGAAGTCAGAAGAGTCTCTGGTACTTGGGCCTTGAACACTGAGACAGGTGGCCAAAAAAGCACCTTAGGGATGGAGTGTGAGTGGAGACAAGGGCGGTGTGAGCCGGGGGATGGTGTGCATCCCTACAGAAGCTTAGTGTGTGATGTTGCCTCCTGTACTCCCCAAACCCCCATAAAAGGTAGGGATTCATCTCTTGTTACAGACAAAGAAATGGAGCTTCAGTGAGAGGGAAGTAACTTCCCCAAAGTCTCCAGTAAATGTCAGAATCATGATGGGGAATATCAGTCCAGAAGAGAAAATGGTAGGAGAGGCCCCACTGTTGGGGAGAGGCTGTGACCCTGCTGCCCTCCCCCATGCTTCAACACCCCAGGCTCATCTGTGGGGATGTCTTTTTGAAATTCTTGGGAAGCTCTTTCTAGAAAGCCCAAAGCCTGCCCTGCACCATCTCAGGTGGGCAGAACTTCCGGGCTGGCGCCGGCCTCCCTGGAGAATTTCTCAGCACAACTTCCATTCCAAAAGGAGCTTAGGGCTTTGGGGCCGATCCTGCTGGGGTCCATCAATGCTCTCGCTCAGGGGTGCAGAGTGAGATCCACTGGGGTGTGGGGGAGGGATGGGGCTAGGAAATCCCCTTCAGGCCTGGTCCTGGGTGTGGGGCTCTCCCATTGTTGCTGTCTCCTATTTAACCACAACTTACATACAACTCTTAAAAAATACACCATCATTTAAATGCGGGGTGGTGGTGGTGGTAATCACTCATTAGGTGGTCGAGCACTTGCCTAGCACGTTAGAGGCCCCTGGGTTCAATCCCTAGCACCTCAAAAAATATATATAAACCAGACTTACATGGGACTTTATAAATATGAACTCAGTCTTCAGAACAACCCTATGAGGCAGGTACATTTTACAGAGGTTGAAATGGGAAGGGCAGGGACTTGCCAAGGTCACCAGCAATAAGGTGCAGAGCTGGAGACCCACAGGCCTGAAGCCAGGGGGTGTGAAACCCCCTCCTCCCCTACAGTGGGGAGTCTCTGCAAAGAGAGGGCTCAGAAAGCCCTGCACCCCAGTCCGGCCTCAGCAGGAGATTCCCGGCCCCTTCTTTTCACACAGATCCAGGGTTTGTGTACCTCAAGTGAGGGGAGTGGACGCCCCAAACAAAGAGGATGCAAGCAGAGATAACCCAATCGTTCTGGGCCTGGCTGGGCCATTGGGAGGGTCACAACTGAATCCTCCCTGCTCTGGGGCTGAACCTCAAGAAGGTGCCCTGGCAAGGCTGCCTGTAGTTTGTTGCAAAACAATGAGTCAGCCCGGGAGGGGGCGGGGAGGGGGTGGAAGGCATCTCCCCTGCAGCCCAGCCTCCAGCCTCTTAGGCTGCCCTCTTCCCCGCCCCTCCCCGTTCCCTGCCCTTGGTCTTTAGAAGGCTCAACCAATTTCCTTTTTCTGTTGTTTGGCTGTGATAGGAAAAGTATTGAAAAATAGAAAGTGCCCTAGACAGGAAAACGCTCTGAAAGCTGCAACCTGGCAGCCCAGGCCAACACCCCAGTCAGAGGGGGCCACCAGCCAGGATTCCAACCAGGGACTCCTTCCCAGGCACTGGCTCCTGAGGGCACTTTAAGCCCTGGTGAGTGGAGATGAGAATTTAGAGGTCCAGGGATGGGTAGGGAGAGGTTCAAGGTCAGACAGCTAGTGCCAATGATTGGGAGGGTGGGGCAGATCCTGTGGGAAGGTCCCCGAGACTGGTCCCTAAGTGGGGAACTGCTGGAAACACAGGCTTCTTTTAATTTTTTTTTTTTTTTTTTTTTTTTTTTTGCAGTCTTGGGGACTGAACCCAGGGCAGTGCACGTGATAGGCAAGCACTCTACCACTGAGCCACACCCATGGCCTATACTTCCTTTTTAAAAAATTAACCTTGCCAAAGGATCATGTGCTTCTATTCTCTTGTGGCCCCAGAGCTCCCCTTCAAAGCCATTTCAGGACACAGGGCCATTCTCTCCCCTGGCCCTCACTGAGGAAGCAATGTGGTTACTCCGGATAGATCCCATAGGGTCACAGTGGGTATCACAAGTCACTCTCTGGGCCTCGCCCCCTTCACCTCCAGTGTTTTCCTCCTAATGGCCCATGAAAGAGAAAGCCTTCTGCTCTTGAGAACAGCACAGAGAAAAATCTGCTGGAGGCTATTGAGGAAATTCATTAATTTATTTGTTCATCCAAACCTGGTTGGGTTGCTGCTGAGCCAGATTCCACAGAGGAGGAGAGAGGAGGGTCCAGGCTCCTTGGGATCCAGCTGCACAAACAGATAACTGCTCTTCTACACTAGTGTACTGACCAAGGCTTATCTGCCCTGAGTGCAGGACACTGAGGGACCTGTCCCAACCTGAGGGATAAGAAGGCAGAGGAGCCAGAGAGAGCCACATCTTAAAGAACAAGCAGGAGTGCACCAGAGCAGCAGGTGGCAGAAGCAGGTACTGTGAGGGAGAAAGCATGCCCACAGCTCCCTCTGGTTCATAGAGCCACTCAGTCAACATTACTGAGCTCCCACCATGGCATGCAACCAAGTACAGGACCTGGGATAGGGGATGGGCAAGTCAGCCCCTGCCCTCAGAAAGCTCACAGTCTGGTGGTCAGTGATCTTCCATCAGTTAAGGATCCTGTTAGGGACTGGCACGCATGCTGCTCTTCCTGCAAGCCCCCTGCAGCTCCAGGAGTACAGGACTTTCCATATGGACTCTTTTCTAATTGTTTAGGCCCAATCCTTTCCCACCACCATCTCTCTGAGGCCCCTGGGAACCTCTGAGACTTATTTGTCTCTTTACATTTCCCACAGGACCAGTTACAGTACTGAGTACTTTTCTACATATTCATTTAATATTTGCTGATACTAATTAATGTCAATGGAGAAAAACTATTTTCCAGCTACAGTCTGACCTTGAACCCAGACTACGGATAAGTTCTTAAATCAATCTAGGCAGTTCTCCAAAGGTGCAGATGGCCAGAGAGTCCCTGTTAAAGCAGAGACTGACTGAGTGGGCCAACACTGTGAGACCGTGGTCCTGTTTTACTGTAGCTTAGTAATGATGACATGGCTGAACCTTTAAGGTCACAGTCCTGTGGGGGGGGGGGGGGGTGCAGAGATCTCTGCAGCCTG